TATCTGACAGTGTTTCTCTGCTATTCATAAGGTTTTCGGTGTCTAATTATTTGGAAGTAGTTTGTCACTCCTCCTTCCTAGTCAGTCTGTCTTCGTCTAGAAGCTCATCTGAAACCTGTCCACTATGGGTGATCCTGCTGGTATTTAAAATACGGTGGCATAGCTTTCAGAATCACAGAAACTCACAAGCCACCACAGTACAACAAACTGACAGACAAGTGGTCGAAGAGTCTAGATACAGGGTCTCTAGGGTCATAGTATTGTACAGTTAGAAGATACATTTGTCATCTACCGTATAATTCTGCTAAGGACAAGAATTATATATGTAATGTCTGTAAGTTGACCGTATTACTTACCCAAACTGGAAATATTTTGGGAATGAAAGGTAAACTGCTAAGCTGGGTGGAATCCTGGAACAATGGATATAAAATTACACTGCCCTGGGAGAGACGGACGTATGGTCACCCGATTTATAAAAAGTTTTTCCAGAAAATCATCTATACTTTGCCGAAAATACTTGTCTCACAAAAATCTAGTGCCTTCTTCTTGTTGTCATGTGCAGTCGAATCATTTCTGCCTCACAGTGAAACACTGCCGGATCCTATGCCATCCTCATAATTGTTATATTTGAGACATTGTTGCTGCCACTGTGTCAGTCCATCTTGTTGAGTGTCTTCCTCTTTTTCATTGATCCTCCACTTTACAAGCATGATGTCTTTCTCCAGGGACTGGACCCTCCTGATAGCATGCCCAAAGTATGACGGATGAAGTCCTCACTCTAAGGAGCATTCTGGGTTTACATCTTCGAAGACAAATTTGTTAGTTCTGGTAGTCCATGGTACTTTCAGTATTCTTTACTACCACCACACTTCAAATGCATGTATTCTTCGGTAGTTTTCCTTATTCATTTTCCACTTTCACATGCATATGGGGCAATTGAAAATACCTGACTTAGGTCAGGTGCATGCATATATTTTTTTAGGTGCATGTATCTTTAACACTTTGAAGAATTCTTTTGCAGCAGATTTGCCTTAATGCAACACATTTTTTTGATTTCTTGACCATTGCTTCTGTGAGTGTTGATTGTGAAGCCAAACAGAAAGAAGTCTTTGACAACTTCAATATTTTCTCCATTTGTTGTATTTATTGGTCCAGTTGTGAGGATATTTGTTTTCTTTACCAAAAAAGCTAGTGTTATGGGTGACTCTAATGATTAAAGAGTTGTTCTTTTTTTGAGCTAAATTTTATCTTCTGTAACTGTTAATTCTTATCCCCAATTTTGTCTTCTGATTCTAATATGGGTACTTATCCACTCTACATATACTTTTATTTGGTCCCAGTACAGATTCCTCATGAGCACAATTAAGTGTTATTTTAAGCAAGTTTTAAAGTTTCTTTTTTTTTTTTTTTAGAAAAAACTCACAGTTTTCTTCCTATAGCTCCACAGTGTGTACAAATTAAAACAGTTACAACACAACATAGCACCATGACCATTCTGATGGCTAAGTCACCAGGTTCTGGTATGGGGCATTGATTGCTAAGCAACACTTTAAACCACATTCATGATATTCTCTTAGTACTTTTAGAAAACATTCAATGAAGTTTCTGGCTTTTTAAAACTAAGGTTTACAGTTATTTTCAGAATAGTATCTATATGGGAAGGCTAAGCTTCCAGTTAGAGGTGATCGTAGTGGTTCCAGTTTTTTGGTGAGAAACGCTGGATCTACATGTATTATGCCATTTTAAAGACAATTCTCATCATCTTTTTTTCTTGCAGGGAAAAAAAATCATGGTTTAGAGTACATTTAACTTTTCATCCCCCTTGTATTCTCAAGATATATTTTCATTTCTATGTGTTATATATTACCCACATTTTTTCAGGAGGCTGGTAAATAGGAAAAGCTGGAATGATAAATTTTGAGATGGTTTGTGGATATAACACAGATAACTGGTTCATTACTGTATACAAATAGGTCTCCCCTCAGCCCTCCTTTTTTAAAGGTAACCATTAAGAATGTACATAGAACCATTTGACAGCAAAATTAATGAAAATTGTGTTCATATATTTAGATGATTTAACTTTGTTTTGTTTAAAATATCATCATTTTCCTGAAAAGATTTGTTAGAAACTAGGTTTAAAAATTTAAAATAATAGATTAACATTAAAAATTGCCCCTTTGTTCTTTTAGCTTCACAATGAAGAGGACAATTCAGATTCATCTGCCATAGAGCAACCATCAACTTCCAGCCCAACACCACAGATTGTACAAACTACTCCTTCAACACCAGTACTTGAAACTTCTCCTCCACCTTACAGTAGTATTACTGTGGAAGTACCTACAACGTCAGGTATTTTTGCTTTTAATGTGAAGCAAGTATTAGTATTTTTTTTCAACCAGTATTGCTTTGTATAAATACAGTATTTGTATATGATTTTTACCAAGGCATTATTGGTAAATGTTAGTGAGAAGGTGGTGACCATTGTGTGGTAGTTACGTGTCAGTGGAAGTGAAAGGTCACATAGAGTTGCCCCACATACATGTTCATAATTCTTGGATGTAGCTTAGTTGCAACTGTTTCTCCTGTTCTTTCACGCTCTCCTGAAAAACTACCCTCTTTTTCTCTGGCCACAGTTTGATATTTTCCCTACAATTCTAAGTTAGCCTGTATATAATATTTCAATATGATTTTTTATATTATTATGGTTAACTTCTCTAAATATTTTATATATTTAAATATTCATTATGAAAAAGTATTCAAAACCATTTTAACAAAAACCTTTAATAGAATAGTTGATCTTACTATTTATTATTCTATAATTAATGCCAATGACTTTTATCAAAATTCATGCCAGGCTTTTCTGGTTACCATTGTTGCATGTCCAGATTTTATCTAGACCGTCTGGAATGTATAAAAAGACCCATTATTTCTTCTGCCAAATTAATATCCCTTTTAAAAAATTATTTGTTTTTTACATGCACTTCCTTAAAATCATCTCCCTGGTTTCTCAGTAATTAAATAAACGTGAACTTTAACAATTACTACATACTTATTTGATCATTGTGATTGAGCTGTATCATTTTGCTTATAGTACATGTGGTTGTTGTTACATGCTGTTAGTTGGTTCTGACTCATAGCACCCTGTACTGGGTTTCCGAGGAGCATTTGTTGAGTTTGAACCACCAACCTTTCAGTTCAAACCAACCTTGTGATATGGATCTTGTTCTACAGTACCACACCAGGACTCTAGTACATATGGTAGAAATTGGAAATGCTTTTTTCGAAAAAAAAAACCAAAAACCTGAAAACAAAAAACACAACAACAAACAAGCAGTTGCCTCTAATTACTGTGGTTATGGATTTCTGGAAATCATATTTCAAAAATAGTTCACAAGTTTGGGAGGGTAAAAATGTTTCATATAAAGAAAACTTAAAGAACTAGCTGTTGTTAAGTGCTGTGGAGTCAGTTCTGACTCATCGTGACCCTGTATAGGGTTTCCGAGAAGCAACTGGTGAGCTTGAACTACCGACCTTGCAGTTCAAATGGCTTTGCAGTCTGGTGCATTAATGTACAGCACCACACTTGTTGTTGTTAAGTGCCATCAAGTCGGTTCCTACCAATAGCGACCCTGTATCGGGTTTCCAAGGAGCAGCTGGTGAGCTTGAACAGCACCACACTAGGACTCTTTAAATGGTTATGTGATACTGGGCAAGTCACTTAACTTTTCTGAACTTCAGACTTGCTAAGATTATACCCTTTTCTCACTCATCAACTTGAATAGGTTTCAGAGACTAGGCTTTTACCTGAAAATTGGTGTTACGTGAAAATGGGAGGATGACTACATTATTACATAACTGGCACACTACTGAGAATCATGGTCCAGCTAAGTTACACAGGATCTTAACCATCACAGCCAGCATTACTGTAACCTGACACCTTGGCATTTGCTACTGCCAGATGTAAATTTTAAATGTACAGAAGAGTTGAACAGTAAAGTTTTTACTAGTGTCATTGTGAAATGTCAGATAATGAGATAGTTCATAAGTGAAAAGTGGGGTAATATAGACAGCAATGCTTTATGAAATGTTTAGTACTATATAAATGTTTACTATTATTATTATTACAATTACTGCTTTTTAAATTTTTCTATTTGACTCTACCACTTGTCTGTCAGTTTGCTGTACTGTGTGGTGATTTGTGTATTGATGTGATTCTGGAAGCTATACCACCAGCATTTAAATACCAGCAGGGTCACCTATGGTGGACAGATTTCAGTGGAGCTTCCAGACTAAGACAGACTAGGAAGAAGGAGAGGCAGACTACTTGTGAATGGTTAACTACTGAAAACCTTTTGAATGACGGTGAAACATTGTTATAGTGCCAACGATGAAAACATTGTGAATAGCAGCAGAATATTGCCAGATACTGTGCTGGAAGATGAGCCCCTCAGGTTGGAAGGCACTCACAGGACTCCTGGGGAAGAACTGCTTCCTCAAAATACAGTTGACCATGATGACACAAATGAAATCAAGCTTTTGGACCTTCATGTTGATGGTGCATAACTCAAAATGAGGAGAAACAGCTACAAAAAGCCATTAATAATTGGAATATGGCATGTATGAAGTATGGATGCATTTGAAAATTGAAAGTTGTTAAATGTGAAATGGAACACACAAACATCAGAATCCTATGCATTAGCGACCTGAAATGGACTGGTATTGGCCATTTTGAATCACATAATCATAAGGTTTACTATGCTAGACTGACAAATTGAGGACAGATTGAAGAAGAATGGCATGGCACTCATTGTCAAAATAAACATTTCAGGATTTAGAAGTACATTGCTGTCTGTGATAGGAAAATATCAATACACCTGCATGGAATCTTGGTGAAGAGCTGTAGGATAAACACTGGACTGTTTACTGCAAGGTCAGCGATTCAAACCCACCAGCCACTCTTTGGAACCCCTATGTAGGGTTGCAGTGAGATGCAACGGATTCCCTTGCACTTGATGACAACAGTAATAACAACAAGAAGGTAGATCAGTTAATACCATTATTCAAATTTACGTCCAAACACTAAATCTAGTGATGATGAAATTGAAGAATTCTGCCATCTTCTTCAGTTTTAAATGGACCAAAATGTGCAGTCATGATGCATTGATAATTACTGGTGATTGGAACATATCAGTATTGTAAAATAAGGCCTTGGTGGTAGAAATGATGCTGGAGATTGCATAATAGAATTTTCAACATTGATGATTTCTCTTTGGTGCAATGATTCTGTGTGTATCTTCCATCTTCTTTTAATGTTTTCTGCATCATTTAGTATTTTGCCCAGAGAATCCTTCAATATTGCAGGTCAGGGATTGAATTTTTCCTTCAGTTTGAGAAATGCTGAGTTGTGTTCTTCCCTTCTGGTTTTCCAACTCCAGATCTTTACACATTTCCTTATAATACTATACTTTGTCTCTCAAGCTGCCATTTGAAAATTTCTGTTCAGCTCTTTGGCTTCCTCATTTCTTCCATTTACTTCAGAAATTTTATGCTGAACAGCAAGTTTCAGAGTCTCTTCTGACATTCATTTTGGTCTTTTCTTTTTGTCCTGTCTTTTTAATGACCTTTTGCTTTCTTCCTGTATGATATTCTTGATGTCATTCCACAGCTCTTTTGGGTTTTGCTTATTAGTGTCTAATGCATCAAGTCTTTTCTTGACATTATCTGTAAATTCAAGTGGAATATGTTGAAGATCTTATTTTGGCTCTTTTGTTTAGTTTTCTTCAGTTTTACCCTGAACTTACATATGAGCAATTGATGGTCTGTTCCACAGTCTGCCCCAATCTTGTTTTGATTGATGATAATGGAGCTTTTCCATCATGTCTTTCCACAGATATTGGATTTCTTTGTATTCCATCTGGTGAGATCAATTCCACAGTCAATTGGATTTCTGTGTATTCCATCTGGTGAGATCCACAGGGCATATGCGATTTAAAAAAGATGTTTGCAATAAATAAGTCATTGGTCCTGCAAAATTCTATCATACGATTTCCAGCATCATTTCTATCACTAATGCTGTAATTTTCAACTACTTGATCCTTTCTCTTTGTTTCCCACCTTCACATTCCAGTCACCAGTAATTAGCAATACATCTTGATTGTAAGTCCAGTCAATTTCAGGCTGAAGAAGTTGGTAAAGCTCTTCAATTTCATTATCACTAATTTTAGTGGTTGATGTGTACATTTAAATAGTTGTGGTACTAACTAGTTTTTATTGCAGGTGTATTTTCAATAACGTCATATGTGTGTGAAAGCTGGACAGTGAATAAGGAAGACCATAGAAGAATTGATGCTTTTGAGTTATGGTGTTGGAGAAGAATATTGAAAGTACCATGGGCTGCCAAAAGAACCTATAGATCTGTTTTGGAAGAAGTGCAGCCAGCCAAGATGACCAAGATGGCGAAACTTTGTCTCTCATACTGTGGGCAT